TGAAACTCAGGCGTGAGTTCCCGGTAAGTATCAAAAGTCATTTGTGCTATTATATCGATACTACTACTACTACTACTACTACTACTACTACTACTACTACTACTACTACTACTACTCTCTACTCCTATACCAATACTACTACTACTACTACTACTACTACTACTCAAGCCTACTCTGCTCTACTCTACTCCTATACCAATACTACTCCTGCTACTCTACTCTACTCCTATACCAATACTACTACTACTCCTATACCAATACTACTACTACTCCTCCTCCTACTACTACTACTACTACTCTTACTATAGTCTACCCTACTCTACTCCTGTACCAATACTACTACTACTCCTACTACTACTACTACTACTCTTACTATAGCCTACTCTACTCCTATACCAATACTACTACTACTCCTACTACTACTATACTAATGATTGTGTATTATATATCGTGCAGTGCACCAAACAACCCTATGGCTCAGTTGTATGTTGATTCTACGTTTGCGAGTACCTAAGGATGTGCAGCAGATTCAGCAGCAGCTGGCGGCAGCTCAAGAAAGCAAAAGGATGGTGGCGAAAGGAGAAGGTCGACCAAAACTTGAATCAAATAGTAGAGGACATATGCAAGTTTGTCACAGAGATGGTGCATGAAGGGCGACCGTTCTTCAATGAGGAAAGCGAGTTAGCGCGGGATCCGAAGTTTGAGAGGATCAGAAACTGGAGCACCAAGTTACAAATCAAGGATTACATGTTGTCGGACCTCTTTTTCGGGAAAAGTTGATATGTATGAATGACCTAAGTTGCTCGTGTATGAATGATGTGTGTTTGTGAAACAATGATGAAGACATCTCTAATGTAATAACTTAATGTTGGTTCGTCGAACCAGAATAAATGTAATTATGTTTGTCCTCTATTTTTTGTTTTATCTGTTTTCTTTACCGAAATTCAAATTCAAATTCAAACTTGAAAAAGTATTTTTTTTTTAAATCTTGAAATCATTAACAGAGGCGCCTCCTTTAATGTTTTAACTGAGGCGGGCGGCTTTAGCCAACCGCGTCGGTTAAAATCTTAACCGAGGTTGGCCGGTTAAGGCAACCGTCTTGGTTAATATGTATTAACCGAGACGGTTGTGTAAAGCCGCCCGTCTCGGTTAATCTATTAACCGAGGCGGTTGGATCCAACCGCCTCGGTTAAGGCCACGATTAACCGTGACCTTTTGACCGAGGCGGTTGGCTTGCCTGCTTCGGTTAAGCCATTTTGCCCACCTCGCTTAAGTTTCTTGTAGTAGCGAATTGATTTATTAGTTATCACCTTCCTTCACCGCTGTTTATTGGAGAACTAATCGATCTAGACTTTGGAATAGATGGGAGGCACACACATTCCTTTCTTCTTGTGAAATTAATTGTCACCTTCTTTCGTGTGGATTTGGTTCCTTCACTCCTCTTCTTGTGTGGTTGTTGTAATGTACATGCGACACCTATTGGGTAGGTTTCACGCGGAGATTCACTGGTTGTTTCCACCGCCCCACAGGTCACGATCCACATCTCATCCACCCTATCCCAAGCTCCGTCGGCCGCTCCCCTAGCAGCCCCCGGCGGCCAGGCCATAGTTGGCCCCTACTTCTCTCTAGCCACAGTCACCAGGGGCGGCAACTCGCGTTCAACCAAAGTGAACAGAGAGTCAGAGAGTGGAAGAAGAAGCCTTCCGCCTGTAGCCAATGGGCTTTGTTGTGCAGGTACAATTGGGTTGGTGCTGATCAGGAGTCTAATAGCCCAACGCCCAGCTCACGCGACCAGTGTCCGATTCACCCTTCCATCTGTATTTTTTTTCTCCTCAAAAAAAAAATCTGTCTTTTTTTTTCCACTTCTCCTGTATCTTAGGTGTCTGAATTTTAAGATAATTTCATGCAACACTCTTGTTCCACCAATTAGTACAAGTAAATTATTACTTTGTGATTTGTTACATGTCTTTGTGTTATAACATATCAATTTTTTGTCCTTGTCTGCCTATAAAAATAATTGTAACATGTTAATTGTCTTTATGCCAACACAAATCAGATTTTGTCGGGTCCGTGGTTTTGTCTAATGGGTTTTTTATTCTCGGAACCTAAAATTGCAGATTGTGGTTACAGAAATTGCAATGAACCAAAAGTGCAATTTTAGTGCAAAACATATGCAACAAATGTCGCCGGAAAGGAAGCTAAAATTCAGACACCTGAATTTTAACAAATCCGTTTTTTTCCTCCGTATTCCTTATCATCATGGCTCGGTAATCCTGCATCTCGAGCGAGCGTGACACCGACCGTGCACCGATAAGGGCTTTGTTTGCTTGTTCATAATATGCATGCCAATATTCTTGTTTTATTTTTCTATAAATTCCTTGTTAACTATAGTCCAAGTGATCATGGAAATTATATTCGCTATGGGTAAGTGATCACGGGAATTATTGAGGCGCCGCATTTGAGGTGGGGCACAGCGTCTTGAGTCTCAACAAAAGCATGGTGGGCCAGCTGCTATTCACCCTCAACTCGCAGGACTCTATGCAACATGGGCCTGGGGAGCGTGGGCCAACCTGCTACCGATGCACTGGGCCAGACCACAATTGGAACAAGCCGGTTCACTGACTATAGATCTTGGAACAAGCCGGTTCAAGTAAACTAAAAGTTGTATGTACTGTTTAAATAAATTAGATTTCTTTTTAAATATGCCTGATGTATAGGTTGAAGAACTATCTTGATGCAGCACTAAAGGTTCCTATGCAATTTCTCTAAGTTGAATCTTTGTTCAGTTATATGCAATAATGCAAATTGTATAACACGATGACATCGGTGTTATGAGCTTATATAGATATTTATTTTTGTAATTAGGTGTTACTATACAGTGCACCAATTGGTCGTTTCATCAACTTGTCTAATAATAGGGACCACTCTTTGGCGTTCAATGAATTCGTTTGACCCACAGGTCATGTGGGATTGACACCCCAGCTGGCGAGCCAATTCCCACCAACAAGAGGTACAACGCCGCCAAGATCTTCAGCAACCCTGAGGTCGCTGCTGAGGAGCCCGGGTATACAAATCTCCCCCCACTCGTACAATGAAAAGATGAACCGATCTATCTTTGTATGATTGATCGACCATGATTGTCCTTGCAAATGGTAGGTATGGCACTGAGGAGGAGTACACCCTCCTTCAGAAGGACACCAACTGGCCTCTTGGGTGGCCTATTGGTGGCTTCCCTGGCCCTCAAGTACACACATGATGGCTTCACTAATTATCTTGCTTGCTTAAGACTTGCTTCATTGATCCTGTCCTACATTTGTCTCCGTCGTCTCCTCTCGCCAACCGCCGGACCTGTTCGTGTTCTTCTCCGCGTGACCTGCACTACTACAAAAATGATTTTAGGTGACGGTGCCCAAACATTAACGGAGCCGAGCACAAAATCCAACCACCTTAAAAAATGCTAGGCTATTAACGGAGGCGGTCACATTTATTTACCAAGGCAGTCACTTTTGCCTGCCTTGTAAAATCGATTAAGGGAGGTGGTCAAAATCTAACCGCCTCCTAAAATCGATTTACGGAGGCGGACGCCTTAAGACAATCGCCTCAAAAACGGCCTATTTATAGAGGCGGTCGTCTTAAGGTGCCCGCCTCCATAAATCTATTTTCAGAGGCGGGGACACTATAAGGTCCGCCTCCAAAAATAGTAGCCCGGCTCCCAAACCAAAAAAAAGCCCATCTCTGCCTTTCGACCGGGCTCATATACAACCGGCACTTAACCCTAGCCTCACTCCTAGCGTCCTTACTATCGTCCCGACACTCGAACGCAGCGCCCCTCCCCTCCCGATCGAGCGTGTCGCGCCTCTCCCTCCTAGCGCCCCGGCCTCTCTCTCCTCTACCTCCCCTCCCGATGGAGCGCAGCGCCCATCCCTCTCCTCAACTCCCTCCGGCGGTGGTGGGCGCGCGGACCCGGCGACGCGGACGGAGGCGGCAAGGACGTGCGAGCGCCCCTCCCTCTCCTCTCTTCCCTCTAGCGGTGGTGGGCGCGCGGCCCCGTCGCCGTGGACGGGAGGCGGCGAGGACGCGCGTCTCAGTGGTGGCGCGTCCGGGAGCAGGCGGCGCCTCTCCAACGAGCTCGCAGCCCCAACGAGATTTGGATCCAGTGGCTTCGCGAGATCTGGCGCGAGGAGGCGGAGGCCGACGAGATCCACGTGTGAGGAGGCTTATGACGCTCCTCGGCGGCGGATCCAGGGGCGAGCGCGCTCACCAGTGGCGGATCCAAGGTGTGGCCGTCCTTCGGCGGCGGATCGAGGGTGGTGGCATCCCCCGGCGGCGGATCGAGGGCGGGCGCGACCGGATCCAGGGACGACGATGGCGACGACGCGCAGATCCAGCTAGCGGCGGCGGCGGCGCGTGGATGGCTCGGCGGGCCTGTTCGTGGGTTTTTCTTTTTTTTGTTTTTCGTGTTTGATTTACGGAGGCGGGCAAAGCAACTGCCTCCGTATGTCATGGATTAACCGTGACCTTTGATTGGAGGCGGTTGCAATGCCTGCCTCCAGAAATGAAAAAAACGCCCGCCTCCAATAAGATTTATGTGGTAGTGCTGGCCTCTCGTTCAAGTCGTCGTTGACCTAAACACACAGTCGAGAAGAGAAGCAAGTGATTTGCTTATAAATGCATCACTCATTTTGGTCGGAGTCTGGTGGTAACACAAGCCCCCCCCGCAGTAGAGACACCGGCGAAAAGGTCGACCGCCTGCAACTGCATCCAAAAATACATTACCCTACACCTGCAGTCCAGCTGGTTCTCGTTCACTTCATAAGCCGGTTGGTTGGTATGGTACTACTAGTGGTAGTAGCTGGTTGTTGCTTTGAATCTTATTCATACTTGAGAAAACCAGAAAATGAATGTTAATTTACCTCTGCATCCGATCGATCCGTACGTCTTTCCTAACGTAACCTTGTTTCAACTCTCTGTGTCGTCGATCGCTTGGCATCAAGAGAGAGATGGCGCCGGTGGATCTGGTGATGACGACCATCGGGGTGGTGGTCAAGATCAATGGCGTGCTGGAGAAGTTTCGAAGGAACAACGACGAGTGCGGCATGATCTACGGCCTCGTGGACACGGTAGGCCGCGACCTGATGCTGCTCAGAGACGCGCCCATCATGGAGGACGCGACGGTGCGCCCCGTGATGGAGCGTCTCAAGTGTACCCTCGAGCGCACGGCAGCGGAAGTCATCAAGTGCCAGACCTCTCGCGCCTTGGTCCGGTTCTTCAGGACCGACGACGTCGCCGCGAAGCTAGACCAGCTGAGGCAGGACATATCGGAGAAGATGCTGGGGCTTGTTCTTGCTACAAGCGTCAGTACCAACACGCTGGTGCAAGGAATTGGCCGAAGAATGGACCAAAACTTCGAGTTAATGCTTCAGGAGATGCACAAAATCATTTATGCTGCCCTTCCTGCTCTTCTTCTGCCCCTGCAAAGCAAGGTAGTACGTGCCGTTGCTTTTTGATGGATGCTTACCCTGCGGCCTGCGCGCGCATACATATACATACAAACATATATATGGGACTGTACTAGTATCGTCATTGCTTTGCTATTTCAGCTGGAACTTTTGGAGCAGCGTACCGCAGATCATACAACTGAAGATGCTAGAAACAAGAACAGAAGGGAGACAGACAAAACAGGTGGTATGCATACAATCCAATTTCCTAATAAAAAATCCACCCATGATGCAGTGCAAGAATTGGTTTGGAAACTAGTATTATTCTACAACCATATATATATATATATATATATATATATATATATATATATATATATATATATATATATATATATATATATATATATATATATATATATATATATATATATATATATAGAGAGAGAGAGAGAGAGAGAGTATATTTAGTAGTTAGCTATAGAATAAGTTATTTTGTAGCCACCTCCATTTACGATATTTTTTATACTTAATTTACGATAAAGTGAATATATATTTACGATAATTATGTTACTATAACATATGGGGATATTTACCGTAACATTATAGTAAACCACTTAGTAAAGAGTTACTATAATCATATAAATTAGCATAATAATTATCGTAATTCAAAGTGGCTATAGAATAAGTTATTCTATAGTCAGTTGCAGTAGTAGTATATATATATATATATATATATATATATATATATATATATATATATATATATATATATATATATATATATATATATATATATATATCATTATCATAGTCGCTCACAAACTTATTGCGTTAGTGAGCTGGCACGTACCCGGTCGCAAGCCACAGGATATAATGCTTATTCCGTGGTCTACTAAATTTATTATAATATATAATCACACAAGTGACTTTTTTTAGTGTAACTAAGCTTCGTCATTATGCATTTAATTTGTTTTCATAATAACGACAGGTCTAATAAAATACAGTTGGTCTGCCTTGGAGGCTTCCCTAGCATCAAATGAAGAAATTGGCGGAGGTCACATTAGTACTGTGTACAAGGTACTTCAATCACGATCAAGGCTACGTGCTTTTGGGTGATCGATCCCTTCTCATGCTTTTGGCGGAGGTCACACAACCTTGACACGAGATCCGATCCCTTCTCCGTGCAAAACATTAGAAAAAAAAATCCCCTTTCCACATCCACCTAATAATCAAAAGATCCCTTGTCCGTGCATAACATTAGAAAAGAAGATCCCCTTTCCACATCCACCTAATCAAAAGATCCCTTCTCCGTGCAACCCTTGATGCATAAACCAGAAGAAAATAGGGACCACCTCACATCCCAGCCTCCTTTGAGGAACCCGGATTTTCTCAACAACAACCAAAAAAAAAATAACCACGGACTTCTATTTCAGCAGAAAGGCCTAAAGGCGTAGGAGTATTATTTAGTTTTTCCTTTTCTCTGTTTCAATTTCCTTTGGTCTTGTAAGGCAAGTTTTGGGCCAAATTACAGTGGAAAAACTTGGTCCAAATAAAACATGGCCTAAGGTGAGTTTGCCTGCGTTTTTTGTACCTTTTGTTGATTTCCGTTATCCTTTTGTTGATTTTCTTGTTATACTACATCGTGACTTGTTTCAATAGGAACAATTCATTGTTCCAAGTTATATTTTGTATTTCCATTCGAGGCAATATTACTGTTTTGTAGAATAGTTAAATTGTTCCAAGATTTTTGAAATGTTATACTATAATATAATGTAGTTATATTTTGGACCATAAATTCTGTAACATTCTTGATAGTTATTTTTCCTGTAGATTCCGTTGCTCAAAAGGATTTTAAAATGTTTATGGTATTGATGGATATGTTTTTGCTGTTTGAACAGGAGACATCAATTGTTGTGTCTGTGCTATAAATTCTTATGGTTTGTTTAATGGTTTAAAAAAATTTCGGTGATACTTTTAGCTATACTTTGCTTTTTCTATTACGATATTCATTGTATTATGTTACCTCTTGATTTGTTGTGTTTGTAGAAATCTATTGTGTATGAGCCAATTTTTCATGATCATTTAAATGTTCTATACATGAGTTTAGTTTCTTCTCTTGTGCATGTCTTTTTCTTCATATAGTGTAATTCGAATTGTTCATGTAACGTTATATGAGGCCAGCCCCTAGCTACGATACAAAATATGTATACATTAAACAATTGACAGATATAGAATTTCAATTATAATTGTCAAGAGCATCTCCAAGAGTTACTGAGCCTAAATCCTGTCCAAATCCCAGTCTAAGAGCATCTCCAAGAGTTCCCAAGAATATCTTTTTCAACTCCTCAAAAAGTATTGGGAAAATAAATAACAATCTCCAACAGTTTCTAATAATTCACTCCTAAAATATAGAAGACAATTTTATATCAAGAATCATATACTATTTCTAAATTATTCTAACCACTTTTATATATTTTTTGCATTAGGAACCCTTTCCTACTCTTTATTCTTTCCTACATCCTCCCACCTTTAGATTGGCCGACCGATAAGCGCATGGATCCGCGCATTCGGTGATTTTTTCCATGTGCCAAAAGATTGAGAGGAGACATTGGAAACTCTTGGAGATGAATTTCTTCTATTCTTGCCAAAAATCCTAGATTGGGAGACTTTATTGTGAACTCTTAGAGATGCTCTAAAACCACTATCCATCTTCTCGTTTTATTTATTTTTTCTTGACATGATTGTATCATTTTAACAAGCTTGCTCTTTATACTTATTTAGTTTAAGCTTTTATACTAAACTACAGGGTGAATTAAACAAGATACCAGTTGCCATCAAGAAATTTGGTAACGTGAATCTACCAGCCAGAGAGCGCTTTGTTGATGAACTCCGACTTGTTTCAAAGCTGCAGCATGGAAACGTAATCGAAATTCTGGGACACTGCTACGAATACAGTGAGAGTTTGGTGCAGGAAGGCAATGATATTAGAGTTGACAGAAACGGACATCTCGGTTTTGTCAGTAGATACATGCCCAACCAAAGCTTGGTCAGAATTATAAAATTAGGTACACTTACATAAAAATCCATAGCTTGATCACAATTCACATGCCAACGAAGTTTACTCATAAACTTATTATTTCTAGCCTTTAACAGTTTGTAGTTGCTTTCTAAACATCTGATGTATTGTATGCTTCAGGGAATCAACCTATTGATTGGCCTTCTCTTTTCCGGCTAATTCAAGGAATAGCAAAGGGCGTACATTACCTGCATGAGCAACGTGTTGTCCACTTGGATCTGAAGCCAAAAACCATCCTCTTGGACCATGATATGACTCCTAAGATCAATGATTTTGGAACAGCTAGAGAGCTCGGGCCTAGTGGCGATAATATCACTCTCGACGTGGAAAATATACCTGGCACCAAGTAAGTTGCTATTGAAAAATAATAGATATTGTTTATGGGTATGGTATATATAAGAATATTTTTTCCAATTAGCCTAAGTGCAAGATAGTTGCTGCATTGCAAATATACACTACTAGAGAACAGACTTTAGAACGATGTCCCAATTTAGCATTAGCCTCGGCATTTTTTGCCCCCGGGACTAAAGGACCCTTTAGTCCCGGTTGGTAATACCAACCGGGACTAAAGGTCCCTGCCCAACGGTCGTCCGCGGGGCAGGGATCTTTAGTCCCGGTTGAGTATTACCAACGGGACTAAAGGTTTACCTTTAGTCGGTTAGTAATACCAGCCGGGACTAAAGCTTTAGTCCCGGTTTGGGTTATGCCCCGGGAATAAAGATTAATCTTTAGACCCGGTTTGGACCCCTAACCGGGACTAATTATCCCGGCCTATAATTCTGCTCAATTCTTCCTCCCCGAGCCCGAGCCATTCCATTATTCAAACTCACTGCCTCTGTTCTTCAGCTTGCTGTGGTTCTTGCACTCTCCCCTCCATTGGTGTTGCTCTTGATTTTGGAGGTAACAAACTTAATCCTCTTATGTTTTATCAAGTAGCTTATCTCATTTTGCGATGTAGATGCATGTGTAACTTTATATGTTGGACTTTATTATGATTTTATATGTCATTTTAGCTCAAAATCACATAATGATTTGCATATATGTTTGGATAAACAAAAGTTAAATTAGTTCATCAAAATCACGCCTCGCTTTCGTCCTCGCTAGAAACGCGCCATTCTCGCCCCCGGTGGCTTACGTGATCTTAGAATTAATTTTTCCATGAAATGAAAAACTTAGAAAATTGTTAGAAAATTGTAGAAAATCCGTACTAGTTGAACTTGCGGACCGTGTTCATCTCGGCGAGCATGTTCTCTCGCCGAAGCGGTAACGGACGTCAAGGAGGAGCTTTGATTCTACGAGGAGAGCGGCAACGGTCGTGGAAGACCGTGTTCCCTTTCTCGTAGAATCGGAGCTCTTCCTTGGCCAAGCACGGTGCCGTCCGGTGGAGAAATGCTTTCGCCGAGATGATCACGTAAGCAAGGTCAACTAATACGGATGGTTATTTATTGAAACATGTTTTTGAGCTATAATTTGATGGATATTGGAAAATATGAAATTTACACTAGTTTGCAAAAATAAGTATAGAAAGTAGATGACAATTTATTATTGGATCCTCGGCCTCTCGTTCGGTTGCTATGGATCGAGGCAGAACTCCCTCTCATTCTCTGCGGCAAGTGTAAGCGGAAGATTGTGATGGAGTACCGAGTCAAGAGATAGGGACCCAACAAGGGTCGTGTTTTCTACAAGTGACCGGATCGCGATGTGAGTTTCTTACGCATTTTATAATTATGGCTAATTGACTCGCTTTTCTTGAATATTTTTGACTAAATATTTTTGGCTTTAATTTCGAGTGGGAGGGCAATGGATGCGATGGTTGGTACTTGAGAGGAAGATTATGCTACATACGTGCAGAATTTGGGTGCGCTTGAGGTAGCGATTTGCTGGCGATGAGGCGATGAGCCGGCAGGAGAAGCTTATTGATATTCAACGGAAGAATGATTTGTCTGTTTTAGTTGCGTCACGATCACAAAATAATTATGTTCTTGAAGTGCATTGTAGTTTTAGTTTGTTTAGTGATAGTTGGGATTGCTTACGTTGTAGTAGTGCTTAGCTTAGTTAATTAATCAACCGTGTGTGTGTCATTTATGTTGTGTAATAAAATACTTAATTATGTTCAAGGTTTTCATAATTTATCGTGTAATACAGATTATGTCACGCCATTGGATGTACAATGCCGATCGCCGCTCCCAAGACTTTATAGAGGGCTTGCACTATTTCTTAGGTGTGGCCGAGGCAAATAAGCGGGATGTACAATGCCGATCGCCGCTCCCAAGACTGTTAAATGATGAAGACACTCCATGGTTACGACAAGATCATAACCAAGGGTCATACGTCAAGAAAAAATTCACTGTTGTGCCTGTATGATACAACGATGCATGTTTAATATATTATGTTTTAGAGACGGATATTATATAATATGTTATGACTTCACAATCCTTATATAGGCCATTTTTTCATTTGAGATCTACAATTGTTGTTTTGGTCAACTTTCCATTTGATAAGTTTTCGGAACCCTAGATTGTCTAAAATTGAAAAGTTTTGAATACCAAGTTTGTTCATATCATCAATATCTACAATCCTTATGTAGGCCATTTTTTCATTTGAGAAAGCTTGAATAAAATGTAGTTCAATTTTCACAAGTGTGTGATATAGTTTTAGATAGTCTATATGAGATTCAAGAAGTTGTGACTAGTGTTTGATAAAAATTTCTCAAATGGGAAAATGAGCTATGTAACAATTGTAGATCTTACTGAGATGATCAAACTTGGTATTCAGAGTTTTTTCATCTGAGGTCATTTAGTGTCTCATTTGAGCAAGTTTGACCAAGTCAAATTTGGTCAAATGAAAAAACAACACTTTGACTCTAGTATTATGGACTCTAAATGACTTCAAATTGAAAAGTTTTGAATACCAAATTTGTTAAACTCAAAAAGATCTACAATTGTTGTTTTGGTCAACTTTCCATTTGAGAAAGTTTGGATGGTTCAAATTTGTGATTTTTAAATTTCGACGCCTACAAACTAGTTTTCGAAACCCTAGATTATCTAAAATTTAAAAGTTTTGAATACCAAGTTTGTTCATATCATCAATATCTACAATCCTTATATAGACCATTTTTTCATTTGAAAAAGTTGTAGAACAAAAATACTATATTTTCTTTTATTTTTATAGGTTCAACAAAAATTTCACATCAATTTTGGTCAAAAACCGAGAAAAAATTGAAACATTGACGTTACAATAATGTGATAATAAATTTCCTATCGAATAATATTAGTTTTATTAATTTTAAGTTACAAATATATTTTTGCATTAACAAAATACTTAGTATTAGTCACATTTATATTCTATATTCATAAAAGAAATTAAAAACTTTAGGTTACAAAATTTTCCTATTTACAATAAATAATTAGTTAATCAATAGAATTTTTTAAAATAAATATTGCAAAGTATTGAAGTTGCTATGGAATTAATTGATTAACCTAGTATTAAACAAAATCAAAATCCTGTGTCTTTCCAAATGCTGTTGGCGGGTTGGTAAAATTTTGAGCCTTGAGTCCGGCCCGGACCAAGAACCGGGACTAAAGGGTGGCGGCAATTTCGGTGCCCACCCAAAATACTTTTTAGTCGGCTAGTAACACCAACCGGGACTAAAAACCCTTTAGTCCCGGCTTGTAGAATAGCCGGGACTAAAGGGTTGGGCCTTTAGTCCCGGTTGAGATTACCAACCCGGTATTAATGACCTTTAGTCCCATTGGTGTTACCGGTAGGACTAAAGGGTACAAACCTATATATATCGACTTGTTCATTCATCTTCGATCTCGCGTCGTCTCTCCGATCCAGTCTCCTTGCCAGACCCGAAGCTCGTCCTCGTCGTCGTGCCGAGCCCCGCCTCGTCGTCGATCCCGCCTCGTCTGCCCGTCGTCGAGCCCGCCCGTGGCCGTCGAGCCTCTCAAGACGACCTCGCCTCGCCTGCTGTGGTCGCCGAGCCCGCCCGCCCGCCTCCGTCGAGCTCTAGCTCGCCCGCTCGCCTTAAACCTCGTGATCTCATTTGCCGTCCGAGCCCCCCTTCGCCCGGCCTCGTCGTCGAACTCGCCCGCCCGCCCAGCCTCGCTGCCATCGTCGATTATAATGTTGGATTTTTAATTGTTTTTTAGATAATACTAATAAATAATATTTAGTAGTTTAGTTAGTTTTTTAGATAGTTTTTGATATACGTTAGTTAGATTTTTTAGTTAGTTAGATTTATTAGATAATTGATATATGTTACTTAGATTTTTTAGTTAGTTAGATTTATTAGATAATTGATATATGTTAGTTAGATTGTTAGTTGATATATGTTAGTTTTTTAGATAATTTTTTAGTTAGTTAGAATTTTTAAAATGTATTATCTATTACTAGTTTATCTAATTTCATGTTAGATTTATTTAATTGGATTTAGTAATTATATATTCTATCTCTCTATATATATATATATCTAGAGAGAGATTCTATATGTGTATACATATGTACTTAATTATTTCTATATGTATATATACATGTACTTATTTTCATAAGTTGAGCGAGAGAGAAAATTGCATCTAGAGAGACATTCTATGTGTTATCACATGCATATGTAGAGACATAGACATATGCACTTATTTCTATGTGTTGAGAGAGAGAGAAAATATATTGTATCATTCTATGTGTATATATATACATGTACTTATTTTCATGTTTTGGATCGAAAGTGTTTTTGATTCGATTCCAAAGCCTATACCTTATGTAATTCTTATGTTTATCCTTATGAAATATTATGTGTTATTATATTTAATTGGATTTAGTAATTCTATATGTGTTATCACATGTACTTATGTTATGTACCATAATAATTCTATCTATGTGTTATCTTGAAGATACAAATGGGCTTTCCGGGATGATAACTTGAGTGATGACATAATGGTGATATTATCAACGCCGGCACTAATGTGGATGTAGATGACACGAGTCAAGATTACTGTCGATTATGAGGATATCCTGAATATGCGGTGGTTGAAGATCAACAAATTGTCGCGCAAGAAAATACTGGCGAGGTATATTCGATTATCTATCATCTCTTATAGATGCATGCGTACGTATATTTGTTGTTAATCGTTGTGTTTCTACTCATGTAGCCGGTCTCTGGATCTACATCAACCACCGACAAAAGTAGGAAAGTCCGAGGGCCAAAAAAGTCATTAGAGGGTTGTTTCATAATATCAGAATTCGACACCGACACCGGCAAACCATTGGGACCACATGCTCGGACATATGTCAATCAATGTGGGTTCATTGTAAGGATAGGATCCCAGTTAGTGCTCGTGAATGGAAGCAG